CCGCGCGCCGTTGCCAACGCAATGGGCGCGATCAAGGGCTCGGTTGTGAGCCACGGCGCGGCCATCAACCCGGATGCGGAGGTGGTGCGCAGCTCGGAGCCTCTGCAAGAGGTGAGGGGCATTTTTTGGGTCCTAAGTGATTGCCAACACAGGAGCCAAATTTCCCAATTGGCGCAAATAGGTTGGGGTTTGTCGCCGGGGGCGGGCCCGACACTGGCTGCGCCCCACAAGGCGTCACCGGGCAAGCTGCCGCGCACTTGCCTGGCCCAAGCCCCGCCAGCCCCTGCTTCTGTTGCGACTGTCATTTGTCAGTTGCGCCTGCGCCATCCGCGCGCCGGCGGCCCCGCCGGCCCATCTTGCCACGCACATGTATGCGACGGGCACACAAGCGTATCCCCCACCCTCATCGCCGGGGCAACCCCGCCCGCCCTCCCAGGTGCGGTCATCCGCTGTGAAGGTGACCGAGATGTCCAAGCAGCTGAAGCAGCACTTTGAGAACGGCATGCCTTTTGGCGGCAAGCCCAAAGAGCCCGAGACCAGCGCCAGCGGCGGCGGCGTCACGTCGCCGCGCTCCGCGGCCGCGCGCGCATCGGGCGGGGCGTTCCTGACGCAGCACGACCTCGTCAACACGGCGAACGTTGCGCAGGTGGGGGCAGGCGGGGCAGCCGCTTGGCTTCCAAGGGGAGTGCGGCCAGCCGCATGGGCGAGCGGCGCGACAAAGGGGTGTGCGGCCTGTGTGGGTGGACGCAGCACTCCCTCTGCACTCCCACTTTGTTCCCAGTCCGCTAGGCGCGGCCCCTTTGCTGCTTTGTCCACCCGCCCCACATCGTTCTTGCGCACCCATGTTGAAGCGCGAAACACCTGCGACGTCACTCATGCGCACACACGCACGTGCACGCACGCACGCACGCATGCACAGACACACACACACACACACACACACACACACACACACACACACACACACACACACACACACACACACACAAACACACACACATGCAAATACGCAAACAGGTGCTGCAGGCTGGTGAGTTCAAGCTCAAGCCTGGCGTGGACGTGGTGCCGTACGCAGAGCTCAAGGAGCTGCGGCTTGAGGACGGCCTGGACGTTTCGCGCAAGGTGCGGAGAGCGGGGTGCATGCACATGTCTGTGTGCAGACTTCCGAGTGTCTCACGCATGCAGATGTGAGAGGGATACACAGAGCACCAAGGGGAGACTGGGTGGGAGAGTTTGTGAGTGCATCCGGTTGCATCTGTGCGTTGTACACCCTTTGCGTTGCGATTGTGTGCTTGTATACCAGATTGACCTGCGCGGGTTCTGCTACTTATCCTTATTGGGTAGTAAGAGAGTGAGAGAGTGTGTATGTGTGTGTGAGTGCGCGCACGCGCGCGTGTGCTTCTCGAGTCCTGTTGGTCCTGACAGCCTCATTTGTGAGCATGAGCAGGCGCTGGCCACTCCGAAGCATGCTGCCTTGGGACCACCACGATGGCCGCCAGCCGCACTCACCCGTTCCCCCTGTACCCGCCGACCCCCAACCAAACACCTTGTCCAGGAGGAGTACCTGTCAGAGGAGGAGTTTGAGGTGGTGTTTGGGATGGACAAGGAGGACTTCCAGGCCATGCCGCCCTGGAAGCGCATCAACGCGAAGAAGGCCAAGGGTCTCTTCTAATGCGCCCTGATGGGCATTGGCAGGAGTTTGCCATAATTTGGCGCCGGCGCGCGGCTGCGATGCTGCGGCATGCGTGCTTGCCTCGCGCCGCGCTGCGGCGGCTGGCTGTCGGACTTTCGTGTCGCCCTATGCGTGGGGTGCGCAGAGCGCGCCTATCATAACCCTCTTTTTCTCCCCTGGCCCGCTTTTCGAGTGCGTGGGGCGACCGCTCCGCCCCCGCAATGACACGATCCTGACTCATGCGTACGCCTCTTGACTGTTGTTTCGACAGACATTGCCTTGCGTTGGGTCCCAGGACCCCAGGCATTCCGGTCCATCTCCCCGGGGCCGGTGGCGCTTGGCCTCGCATCGTAAATGCATGGTGGTCAGCGTCTGGGGCGGGCTGTGCGGTTTGGGTGGGCACAAGGTGGCGGCGGCTGGGGCTGCAGCTTGCGGGCCTTTGCAGCAATCGAGGGCCAGCATGTCGCGCCGTGGACAGGCTGGGGCACGAGCCGCAGTGCTGTCCGCCAACCGCATCTTGATGCGAGCTTGGCTGCGTGTGCTTGCCGTAAGGGAGACCAAAGGCCGCCCGCACGCAGCGCTGTTGCTTCCGACCCTGCCTGCCCACCCATCGCTGCATAAAGTTGTGGGATTGAATATGGAGTCGGCAGCACGCGGTCAAGGCCCTTGGGCCCAAGCCCCCAGGCGTTGGCTGCACTGTGGCCTCGAATGTGCCAGCACTGGGCGGGGCAGTCGGCCCGCGGCACGCTAGGTGCAGGCCTTGGGGCACATGGAACGACAGGCTGATGTTTGTGTGTGCTCCCAACTGCGGCACCCTTGGCTGAATTGCGCTACATTATCGCAGGGTTGCATTGTTTAACAGCATTACTTGTCGTGCCACAAGCCCCAGCAACACCAGCAAACCACCGAACTGAACCCCTTGTGTAACGGATGCGTTGCGTGCCATAGCTAGGGGCTGTGGAGAGAAAGCGGCCAAAATCAACGGCTTGCCTATGGAAGATCTGCGCATTTCAAATACAACACTTGGCTGAATCTTGATGCCGTGTCTTGCAAGGAAACAGGACTGAACCCTGGGGTACGCTGCACCAGCCCAGCCCTCCGAGGGTCGTGAAGGCACTCCTCTCCACGCGGGCCCCTGCTGGCCACCGCGCCTTGCCCTGCCTGACCCCACCCCCTCGGGCGTTGCTCATTTGCGGCGCGATGCGGCGCGGTCCCTTGCCAGACGCTCCAGCCGCGCTTGGCAGGCAAGGGACGCGAGCATGAGGGCCACGCAGAGGCCAAACATGCCGGCCAGCGGGAGCGCCTCCACCTGCACGGCATCAGGGCGGGGAGGGGCTCGGGGGGAAGGCGGGCGGAAGCCAAGGGCGAGGGCGGCTATCCAAGGTGTGAGCGACGCGACGGGAGCCCCGCCACAGCTGCTTCCCACCGACATGGTGCTGGGCAAGCCCCTGCACCTCGGCAGGGCTCCCGGCGCCCCGTCGCCCCCTAGTGTTGAGCGGCGCGCTTCTCATTCTCCACCCATACACGCGTCAGCCCCGGCGCCGCGCCGCCCGCGCGCCGGCCCGCCCCACGTCCCTGCTCACGTTGCTGAGCACGACGCACACAAACAGGTTGAGTGGTATGCGGAATATGTTGATGATGGTTGCCCTGAGGTCCTCCGGCACGTACTCTGACCGCAGCTGCATCATGCAGGGCCAGAAGACGCCCACACTGCCAAGAGTTGCATCCAATGGGAGTTCAAGGGCAGTTCACAGTGCAAGGGCGGGGTTGGGTTCGATGTGGTCATCAAAGGAGGGGCATGAGCGGAACAAAAGCGGCTCCATAATGCGGGCGGGCGCCGGTAGCGTGGCCAAGGCCCCGTGCGTGCCCTTGCTGTGCGTCGGCCCTGTCGTGGCTCACCACGCCTCAAACAGGCAGAAAGCGATGAGCTGCAGCTTCCCTGAGGACGTTATCGGCTGGCCCTTGAGCTCTTTGGGGCAGTCATGGCGGGCAGGGGCAGGGACGTCGGAGCGGAGACGCGAACCCAATGTTTCAGGCGCGTGACCATGCGGCCGAACACAGCACTGCATATGCTGATGCGGCTGTTTGTAGGTCTCACTGCCCCTCCCGATCCCGCAGCTTTCTGCCCCGCAAGGGCCCCCCACCTGGCCGCTTGGCGGTGTCCAGAGCGAGCAGCATCGGCACTGCCAACGCCGCCGCCGCAACCGCAAACACGCCCCGCATGAATGCCTCCGGCCGGCCACGCTTCATCAGGGCGCCCGCCAGGAAGCTGCCCAGCATGGAGGCCGTCATGAAGTTCACAAATATGAGGCCGTGCTTGATGTTCTCCCTGTTGGGTGACATGGCCATCGTCCAGAGGAAGACGAAGGAGTACATGGCGGCCTCAAACATGGCCTGGATGGCGCCCAGCAGGGCGATGCACGGGTCTGGGG